GGCGGCTCCTGCGCCGCGCACAGAGTCATTCCGAGTTTTCATGCTCATGTGAATTTAGGGCAAGCGAGTCCTCAGCACCGTTCCCGCTGATGGCCCACGTATCCCCCTGTTCCAGTGACGGAGATGCTATGCTGGGATTTAAGCTTCTGAGCACATTAAAGCCAAATTCATCCCCAGGAGCACAGGCAGATCCTAAGGAGCTTCTGCAGAATGAACAAGCTCACAGAAGTGACAAGACGCTCCAACCGCAGGCTTTTCCCATCAGCAGTTGCTGCCTCTTGCCGCAGAAGGGCTGGCCACAGCGACCCTACTGCATAGCATTGCAAGCAGCGAAAGGGAAGGGTGCACGACCTACCTGGGATAACCCCATCTGCACCCTGAGAAGCCACGTGCGCAATCCACTGGAGGGAGATGATTTCTGTGCTCAGGCAGCTCTTCCTCCAGGGTAGATGCTCAGTTAAACATTTGCTTGGTTCAGTTGTCCTTCCACAAACCTCCCTCAACAAGACTCTCGAAATACCTCAGACATTTCATCTCAGTTGCATGGCACAATTTGACCTGACCCTTGCTAATAAACACTAGTGGTCCGGCACGACACAAATCAGATCCAAATTCCTCTCCGCGCACCCTGGGAAAAGGAATGGACTGGAAGTCACATGTGATAGGTGCTTTCCCCCTTTGTTTTATTGCAGCATAGCCCAGTGCATGCCCTCATCCAACCACCTCCTTTTCCTTCAGGGCAGACAGGGAAGCTGTTCGGGGAACGCACGCTCACTGACAGGCAACTACTCAATTCTCCCATGCAGCCTGGGAGGCAGAAGCTACAGGGGACAGGGGTCGGACTGGAGATACAACTCCTGTGCATGTTCTGCCTGCCATCGAGCTGGAGATGGCCACCTCATTAAAATAGGATGAGGTCCGGGAAGTGGGAACAGCTCAGGTCAATGTATCATTGCGAGGGGCTTAGTTTGATAAACTCAGCTGCAAGAAATACACAGAGCAGGTCATGCTTCTGGCTGCTATTTGCCCTCCGTAGACTCCATCTGTCTTGCCTAGCTCAGCTGGCAGAAGAAATAGGCACATACATGAAACAGGGATGCCGCTTCACATGGGGCAATGAAACACAGATGTCAGACCACGCATGACAGAGGCGGCACACACAGCTCGGCAAGAGGCAACTGGTCCACAGTGAAACTTTTATGCAGAAAACAGCTAGCTCTAGATGGTAACGAGAGAACACAACCTACTGAAGCTGAGAAGGAGCAACTTCTAGGAACAGGGAGAGGGATTTTGCCAAAGTGGGGCTGGCTGCAGGCTTCCCGTTCAGTTGCAGCTTTCACGGTCGCTTTGTTCCATCGCTGTAGATGCTGGAGGCCCCTGGGGATGACACTGTGTCTCAGTACTGTACATAGCTCCTTCAAGGAACAGGCTGCGCGTGCTCCCCCCACCCCCATCGCAGATCTAAATGGCAACTACTTCGCTAGTGAACGTCCATATGAATGAAGGTTATTACACTCACTCAGCAGCCTTCACCTCCAGGGCTTTTCCTTTCAGATCGACCCCGTTCTGCACATGTCCACTCAATGGTTTTGAACATTAGGGTTCACTTTTGCGCCATCACTGCAATGTGACCGCCTGGAGAGGGTTTAACTTGTACAGTGTCAGTTGCTTGGCTCAAAGGCGGGGAGTTCCTGGGGAGCATTCCTGTGGGTTCCCTCTCCCAGCACCCTGCCTGGGCAACAAACAGCTCTGCCCTGCCAGCAAGGAGGGAGGTTACTCTGAGAGCTTTTCCTTGTTGCCTCCAGGGATTAAGGATTCAAGTCACTGCCAGCACAAAGTGGACATTGCGGGATCAGCTGTACCTTCTTGGTTGAGTTGGAATTTGCCAGAGATTTGTACACTTCTTATTTTGTTCTGGGGCTGAGAAGGAAGAGAGGAAGACAATGAGATGTGAGGAGAGGAATGCAGTGACCTTGGCTGTTACTGCTGGGAGTTTTGTCAGGGCCAGATGATGCAGATCAGCCCAGCTCTGATGCAGCAAGGAGGCAAGCAAAAAGCAGCTCAGCCCTAGGCACTGGGGGACACATACGGCTAGCCCCACGGGGAGGCTTTTTTGGATAGCAGAATGCATGTCAGATGGAGCCCAGAGACCCAGCAAATCCAGAGGGCTGATGTGTCGGTATGAAGAGCTGGAAAGAAGGAATTGAACTCTGTGGAAAGGGGGCACTGATGGGAACACTGGCCCTGGAAGGGAAGTTGCATAATAAAGACAATTCTAAGGGTTACAGGAGGTGAGGCCGAGAGGCAGGGTGGTCTTGGGACTGAGGAAGAAAGCTGCCAAATAAGCCACATTCAGTTAGGACTAAATTATTCCCTCTGCAAACCACTGATTTCCCTGACACCCTTCCCTCCCTGCTCCAACTCGCGCCAAACAGATACATCTTGCCAGTGCTCCTCCCTTGGATTATTTCAATCCACTTGGCTCTGTAAACCAGTGATCCGGGAGAGCCAGCCTAACTTCTGCTTAGCCACAGCGAGGCTTTGCACCATGTGAGCCTCCCTTGGTCATTACTGCCTCCTCCCAGCAGGTCATCAGTCCTTCCACCTGGGCATCAGTCAGCTCTGAAAACGTGTCCTGGTCCAGACACCCAGCTTCATACCATATGATATGTAAACACTTTGTGCATTAACTGTGTTCTCAGCAAAGAAGAGAGCCAACTTGTAGGTAACAGCAGAGCAACATGACAAAATGAGCCCCCTAGGGGGTATAGGAATCTCCCCATGCCCTATTAACCCTTTACGCATAGGGAGCCATGCCAGTGCTGTATTTCACTGAGTCTAGGCAGCTGCCTTTCCTGCCATAAATGCTTTACTGCCACAGCAGCATCCTTCTCTACTGTTGACCCCAGGGCAAAAGCAGGGGCCCCTCTTCATCGTGTGGCTGGCTTTTCTGCTCCCACCTCCTGGGTCACACTCCCCCGTGAGATTGCAGAGCTGCCTGTGTGTCCTGGTAGCAGTTCCCTACAGAACAGCGAGCTCAGCACGTGTTCGCTGCTGTGAGTTCGACTCACTCGTGCCTGGACATGAGCTTGTTGTGCCAAGGTGTTCCCACACACCTCCTCAGCGCTCAGCAACAAACATTAAAACACAACAACCGAAAAGCAATCTGCAAGGGGCATGTGCCATTGCATCCAAAACCAAGAGAGTCCCTAAGTTACATGAGGGGCACTTGGGGGCGTGCCCAGCAAGAGAGATGTGGCCAGTCCAACACTGCCCAGGCACAGCAGACACCCAGACTAAATAACCTCCTAGCTCATTTCCATTTGTTTTCCACAACACTGCACAGAGAACAGGAAAGCCTGGGAAGACAGAAGTGCTCTTGCAAAAAATAAAAATAAAAAACCAAAAAACCCACAACGTTCATTTTCCTCCCTACCCCAGCTTTCCACTGATAAACAACTGGAGCATCAAACACAAAGCTTGCACAGAATCACCCAGCCCCACATGGGCCAGAATGCCTTGGCAGTCCACATCTGGCAATATCTAGAAGTTCAAAAGTTAATAACCAAGGGACAGCCTGGATGGGAAACCTGAAAGCCACTGCTACATGAGCATAGAGATTTGTGCCCAAACTTCTGTGCCCAAAGCTTTGAGGATTTCCAAGACGTAGATGAGCACAGAGATTAAAAGGATCAGGAGCTCAGCCCTCTTGACTGATTTTGTAATCAATCCATCGCTGCCGTTTTTCCTCCTCGCTGCACAACACACTCAGTGCCAGAACTCCCCATCTGACTTGGACTCTTGGAGGAAGCACACCCTTGAAAGGCTTACAGCAAACAAGCACTTCTGCCCTCTTCTCGCCTTGCAACTTAAGGAGGTGAAGGAGGGGGAAAAAAAATCAACAGGCATATGTTACTTCAGTCCTACCTGTCATTTTGTTGGTCCAGGGTAAGGAGTACTCCAGCAGGGACTTCAGGACTTCGGGAAAGTCCAGGGCAGCGGGGCCCCCAGGGCTGTTGCAGCTTGACATGGCCCGTCCCGGGACTACACTAGTAACGCTAACGGAGGACCAAGTGCCTGGCCGCCGACACCACAACCCACTTTCCCAGGAGTTGCGAGAGGGGTTCAGAGGCACCCAGAGCAGACTTGCCAAACAACTCCAGCTGAGAGAAACCGAGGAGGAAGGGAAGCAGCCTGGCGAAGATGCAGTTTGCCCTGTCTTCACCTCCCCCGCTCCTACGCTGAAGTGGCCAATTGTGGAAATAGCTCGCAGTCTAGCAGGGCTGGGCCGGGCTGCTGGCCAGCACGGTTTTACAGGGCCTCTCACAGCCAATCCGGCTGCAAAGAACTGGGCCAGTTATCTAACTTTGCAAAGGCAGCACCCTTTTCCTTCCCAAGGTGTTATAACAAATATACACGCTGGGAAAAGAAAAAGTGCGCACACAGTCAGGGGTATGCGCATCAGCTGAAGCGCGACAGCAAGCAGATCCTCTGAAGTGCTCTCAGGAGGCTCTGAGAAGAGGAGCTCCGAGCTGCGCAGACTGCCCCATGGAGACGGGCAGATGTTGTTTGCATCTGCCTGCTAACTTTTTCACCTCTCTGCAATGCAGATAGTGACTATTTTTGTATATGGCATAACACTTATTGTCTGCCCCTCCTAAGTTAATACTGATAACAACATAAGGCATCTTTCTTATGAAGTCTGCGTTGTCCCCGAAATGCAGAACTACTCTTCAGAAGTGACACAAAGCTATATCAGAAATCCAACAGTCTCCTCTCCAAGCGAGGATTCAAGGCAAGAGAGTTAACGCATCCCTGCAAATACTCTGATAACAGCCTACTTAAGTAAGGTCTTGAGCATGCAAAGCCCCTCCTGTTAGTAAAGCTTTTTAGGATGGCGAGGTGGTCTGGAGACAGGAGGATAAAGGTCTGATCTTCCATCTGGTTAGTTATAGAGCTCTGGCTTGAGAAGAGCTCTTACACATGCCGGGGTCTTTCCTTTTGATGTGTGGGATAATTAGAACAGAATTGCCTTTATTTCTCAGTTTGGTCCTGTCCACTTTACTGGGCACAGCCTTACTATGCCAGCGTGAATTGTTAGGAGCAGGGTATTCCTACTATGGTCTCTGAGCATATGGGGGACAGTCCTGCCTAAGTATGAAAACCATGCTTGACATTAAACATGGAAGCGGCCTGAAGGAAGTCATTAGGACTTTTCTCATGCTTGAAGTGAAGCATTTCACCGGCCCAGCATTTAGAGTCTTCAAAACTGATAGGGTTTTGCTCACTTCCAATAGCACTGTGTTTCTATTTGGTCCCATAATGAAATGCATTTGATCTAACCCTATGGAAACCAAGAAGAAAGAATTGCCTAGCCAGGCTGGGTGGTTGGGAATTTCAAATTAGCCGGGGAAGTTTTGTGATCTAGATCCCAATCTAATCGGGCTCAGGAATCACACGCTAGATGCTTTGGTAGAATTCTTAATTGTGATACAATTACATTAAAACCTCTTGGGGTTTTCCCAGGGTTTGCTCCCCCCTACCCTAGACAGAACGTAGGAAAACAGCCAACCAGTGCTAACGATTAGCAGTTAAATCATTCTGGGAGAATATTCCCCTGCAGGCTCCAGGCCATTATGGTGTCCTTTACTTGCCCAAAGCTGGAGGTAGCAGACAGACCCAGCAGAGCATCTTGAAGATCAGCGGATTCTGGCTGCTTGGAGCAAGGGAAGCACAGCAGCATCTCTTGCTCCTGCAGCCCAGCCTGCTAGCCGAGAGGCTTCTGTCCTTTCCTGAAATCTTCTTGGCCGTTCTGGCTGCTTAAGGCAAAAGGAATGGGGTTACTCAGTGCCACCAAGCACTGCTTACTCGGGAGAGCAACTATTACCCTCACATATCTCTAGGCCTGTTTCTCATCAAAGGATGGCAACTGATGGCCTTTATCAAGGCTCAGTTGCTCACTGGCAAGATAAAATGAGTAGAAATACGGTAACTGTCCAGTGCCAGGTGCAGCTGGACAGCCTGTTCTTGCCCCAAGCTCAAACCTGTATTTAAAGCTGGACGACCCTGTTTAGGGAAAGGAGGGTCCTCGAGCACACTTGTGGCCACATGTCTGGACGCACCCCAGGACTTCACAGTAGCTTCTGCAGCAATTGACGGACATTTATTACCTCAGCAAATGAAGGCGTTTATTGAAGGGAAATACGAAATTGTCACTTAGCACTTCCAATTACGGCAACGGATATTTGCAAGTTATTTTCTAGAAATCTAAGAGCACATGTCTCATCTTGTGTTCATCATGTCCACAAAGTTCCTTGCCAATGCTGTGTATCTTTCTTGATTCATAATCCCTGAAAATTGAGCTCCTGCCCAGGAGAAATGCTTGGGCAACATCACTAGTAGGATGTATCAGTGCTGCCTGACTTTAAGCCCTGGGAAAGCAGAAGCTGTGCTACGGAGGAAAGTCATAGCAGTGGGGAGCGTCTGTCTTCCCTTGTGTCCCTGCCTCGGAGAGCGCTTGAGCTGGTTTCGTGAATGGAGTTGAAGTGTTGGCTCTGTGTCAGCATGGAAATCTGCAGACATGGCCATAGATTGCATCGTTTGCGCTGGCTGCACTGTTATCAGATCAGATGGTTATTTATTATTATTGCAATCCCACGTTAGCAGAAGTCTCAGCAGCTCTGCTTCATCACTCACAAGTCCCGTCAGCCCTCAACAGCACGTTTTTTCACAGACTTGATCCGCCATAATCCACTTACACTGGCCCTAAATTGGATGCAAACAGAAGGGTGCATTGAATGAGACAGAGAGCGCTACACTCGAGCAATGCCAATTTAAACCGCAGAGGCCAGGGCTACGTTCAATGTCTTTTCTTTAGGGCTCCTTGTGTGGCTACCTGTACCACCCAGCAGTGCTGGGACATTCAGACTTCCCCGACACTGCCTCATTTATTACTGGGAGCTGGGCGAGGGGGGGCTCCTTGTGCAGATGTGCACCTCTCCAAGTCACCTTCTTTCTCTCAGTCCCAGGCCTGCTCCCTCAGCTCCTTGCAAGGACTACGGCAGCGGCACTTCTGCAGCTGCCTTTCTGCTGCTCCTCCTCGTGCCGGTCTCTCGCACCCACCCTCTGCCCCAAACCAAGAGACAGCGACGTGCCTGTGCCTTCTCAGGCAGAAGCTCATGCAAGTTGGTGCTGCGGGTCTTGTACAGGTAGGTGGTGACACCAGGCTGCGTACTGATTTTTCTGACCTCTAGAACTTAATTGTTTCTCATGGGTAACTTAAAAGTAAGGCTTGTGGAGAACACACTAGCAGCAGTGATATTTGACCAAAATAAGGCGTTTGTTGTTATTATTATTAACTGCTATTATCTCAGCTTCTTCACATGAGGTGAAAGCTTGGCTTGGTAATCCAATGGAATGTTTCTTCCTAGAAAATAGATAACATTTTTGGTCTGATTTTCTAAGGATACAAAGCTTACGCAACAGTATCATCTATCTATCTAGCCACCTCTCCCCTACCCGTTTTTGAACCTACTACCCAATTTGGCAAAGGGATAAATATATTTAAATATTTATGTCTACCTGAATTTGAAAGATCTTATAATCTGGAAAGATGGATGAGAGAGCCAAATGAACGCCTCCTCAGAAGGAAAACCTGCTGTTATTCTGTTTGATTTTTGAGGCGTGTACATTAGTAGCTGGGACCCCAAAGCATGTGCTGCCCCAGCAGCCAAGAGCTAGGGGACAGGCAGAAGCTGGCAGTACTGAGGAGACTGTGTGGCAAGGGAGAAGGTAAATTACTGCACTGAGGTATATCCAGAAATAAGAACAAAAATCTGTAGAAACCTGTAGAAGCTTTACCAATCTTGCTGCTCTCAAAACAGCCTTTTTTTTTTTTTTTTTTTTCCTTTTCAATCACCTGAGACCATTTCCTTTGGCTGCACAGCCCTTATTTGGAAATGCCCATATCGCCTCATACGGGGACATCTGCTGCTGCAGGACCAACAAATCAGACTTGCTGCTCATGGTCTCTGTGAAGGCTCCAGGCCCAGTTCTCACACTAAACCCAGAGGGGCAAGCGGTTTCTTCTTTCTCCTTTTATCCAGGCAAACCTTTTGCTGGAGATCAATCACTGCCTCATTCCACACATCTGTAATTTTACTTGTTCTTTTACTAGCTCCTTGGACAAATAAAAACAGACTCCAATGACAGATCCCAGTGGAGGATTTACCAATTTATTTGCATAGCGCGTTGGACTTGATAGGGGATTTTTGTCACCTTGGCCAGAGGTGGCAGGTTGTTTCACTATGGTCTTTCCGAAAAGGACGCTTGCCCCATATCCCAGCACCTCTTTTTCTGTGGGGTCGAAATGCTGCTCGTAGCAATGACGGGCGTGGGCAGAACTGCAAGAGCACCCAGAGCTGCAGCAGCAGGGAAGGTTGCGGCTAGAGCAGGTGGGTCTGCAGCCACCGCTGTGCAGAGATTACTTTAAAAGAAAAGGAGGTGGGGAAGGAGCAAAGAAGCCAACATAGGATGCTGGACAGCTGAGTGTGTTAAAAGCAGGGTGGGAGCTCTTCGTTGGCTGAGTCGCTGAAGACCTAACCTGGCATCTGAAAGAGGGCCGTACAACCCCTCGGATACTTTTGACGGTGGCAATGTGCAGCACGGACGCTCAGGCTTGACCAGGCCTTGCACTGAGCCCCCTTCTCACCTCTGAAAGGGCTGCCTTTTCCCAGGGCAGAGTATAGCATGCATACGCATGTATATGTACATATTCAAGCAGGCATGTGTGCTACGGAGCGGAGGGCTGGCCTGTGCCTCTTGTACTGCAGAAGGGACAGGGAGCGTGACCCCTAAAGCTGTACTCTCTCGTGCCTTTCGCTGCCATTAAAGAAAGGCTTAAATAAAAAAAAAAAAAAAAAGGAATGGGGGAAGAGCAGCCTCCTCCTTTGCAGCTTTACCCAGCAGAAAAGGCTACGGCTGAACTGATTAGTCCTGTCACAACAGGCACGGGCCAGAGCCAGGTTTAATGCAGACAGAGAATTAAGCATTAATCCCCAGCGACGGGCTGCTGACAGGAACTGGGAGATAGCCCTCACGTCGGAGAAGACCCTTTGCCACCTCGTAATCCCTTCCTTTGAAAGCTCGGCGTGGCGCTGCAGGGATGGTTGAGGTTAGCCCCACTCCCAGCGACCGCGCAGTGGAGAAGGAAGGACGGGCAGGAAGGATGGAGGACGAGGCTC